ACACCTCCCTCCACCCTCATTCGCCCCACTCTGGGCCCCTGAGCAAGGCCCTCAACCCCCACCATCTGCTCCCTAAACAGGTCTCTCTTGAAAATGAGTTCTCGTGGCTCAATGAGACTACCTGGATAAATAAAGGCTAAAGGAAAATGAAAAAATTAAATAATATGCCTAAAGACTGATTAATAAACATGCTGACGGTAAACTCTGTCAGCAGGAAGAAACAATAAATATTTTTAATAATTGTCAAATATTAATATGAGAGCCCAACATTAAAATCAGCATTCCTCTCTAAATCAAACAAACAAACAAAAAACAAAGTCCAAAAACAAAGTCAACATACAGTACATGCATGTTAGGCTGTCTTCAGTGGGATTTGCCTGGTTAATAAAATTAAAAAAATCCAGAGGAATAATATGTCATTACATTAACGACGTCGACAAATTACAAGATAACTAGGGTGTTGTAGGAAATAAGCCTATTTAAAGATTTTTAAGAAGTACTGTATGTACAGATTTTTGGGATTTAAATTTATTCGGATTTACACTCCAGTCCGTACGGGGGCGATAATGAGTCAAAAACGTGTTTGTCAACCGTCATATAAATAAAGAAGAAGTTACGGCCATACGTTACGACACTGAACCTTCACTTACGGCATATCGTAAAGTTAAGCGTCTATGTGCTTCTCTCTGAAACACGAGCGTGTTTTTGTTCATTTGTTTTTTTTGTTTCCATAGTTTAAGTCCAGAGTGTCCTCAGCTCTCCGCGGAGCTGGGCCGCAGGAGTCGGGCCTTATAGACAGAAAAATGGCTAACGGAACCATTCAGTTCCAGGAGAAGGTCAACAGGATGCTCAGCAAAGAGCACGGAAAACCTGTACTTAGACCTAACAAGATGTTGGCTCTGAAAGACACCGTGGGCAACCGAAAGTTAAAACAAGGAGGTAAGATAAGATGATCGAGGCTTGTCAGGGGTTAACACTCGTGTGAACTTCGTTTATGAGCCGTTTAGCGCCTCCTATCGAACAAGGCGCGCTATGGTTTGTGGGATTTTTCGGGGCATAAATATCTTTTTTTTTTTTTAAACTTTATTTAACCATAACGATACAAAACAAAAAGTACCAATTCTTACAATCGAAAGTTACAAAAAGGTGATTCATAGCATAATGGAAATAAAAGAAATAATGAAGGATAAAAGAAAAGAAAAAAGTCATTATATGGGGAAATTGAAATTAACTAAGAAATTTGTCAGCATTTTTTCTTTTTACATATTTTAATGATTTTGCATAGGACTTTAGCTCATTCTTCCAGTGGTTCACATTAGGTTTACATTTGAAAAAAACGACATTTATGAGCACAATGTTTAGTTAATATAATCAAATTATTGATAGCATATTTTCCAATCTTATTAATTAACCCAAATTAGATTTCTTTTAAAGTGAGAGTAAGTAGCTGGATCCCTTTGGATTCGATCCACATTTTAAAATCAAGACAAAATTTCTGAAGTATCATGCAATCAAAGAAAAGATGTTCCAAGTTCTCACTCTGTCTCACAAAAAACACAGTTCCCAGTGTCCAGTATAAATTTTGTCCTTAAAAATTCCTTATTAGGATAAATTCTATTTAAGATTTTCAATTGAATTTCTTTGGCTTTAGGAGGGACCGGAAATGATATAAAATGAGTTCTGATCTTTTTGATCTTCTCTACTAAAGTTCTTCAGAATATTTTCTTTCCTAATTAAGTTAGGAGAGTAGTGATGCAGTAGTTTGGTTCTCAAACATTTATTGTTACATTGATAGTCAGAGAAAGCAATTCCATCAATACAGAGTTGTTTCAGACCAGGGGAAATATCAGAGAATATAATATCTTGTCTCACCACAGCCCTAAGACAGACTGGAACAGCCTTTAAAATTTGGTTATATTTAGTCTCATCACAATGGATATGAAATTTTTTACAGAACTCTTGATTTTGTAAAATGTTTCCTTCGTTGTCCATAAAATGGGCCACGGCCCACACGTCTTTAGAACACCATTCCTCAATAAATATAGATTTTTTTATTAATCAGAATGTACCTATTGTTCCACACTGGTGTGAAGTTATGATTGAAAATGAGTTTCCAGTAAAGAAGAACCTGTTTATGAAAATCTGAAAGTTTCACCGGCAATCTGCTAAACTCAAAATCACATTGTAAGAGAAAATGAAGTCCCCCTATCTTATTAATAAATACCAAATTGGGTATATATGACCAAATTGAGATTATTATTTAGAATTTTTTTTAGCCATTTAAGTTTTAAGGTACCGTTCATAATTTCAAAGTCTATTGCATTCCCTCCACCGTCTTCGTAAGTTTCAATCAGGTCATCTTTACGTATATAGGGATTTTTTTTTCCTCCAAATGTAATTAAAATGTAAAGTATTAATAGCCTTTATCATCTTGGTTGATATAGGAAGGGAATAAGCTGGATAAATAAATCTGGAAAGACTGTCCATCTTAGTTAATAAAATCCTACCAAAAATGTAAATGTCCCTCTGTGACCACCTGTTCAGAATCGACTTACATTTGTCAATATTATTCCAAATATTCATCTTATCAGATACCATTTTATCCTTTATCACTACTCCCAAGTATTTTACCTCTTTTTTAACATTTATGTTACATAGTGATGGCGTCGGATGGTCCTTCAGGGAAAACAGCTCACGTTTGTTAATGTTTAATCGAAGTCCGGAGGCTTTAGAAAACAGATCTATGGTTTGAAGTGTTAAAGGAATTTGATCTTCATTTTTTAAGAAAAGTGTTGTATCATCAGCCAGTTGACTTATTATTATTTGCTTGCCCATTACATCAATTCCTGTTATTCCACTGTTTTTAATTAGGATGGACAACATCTCTGCAACCATTATGAATAACAGTGGTGAGCTTCCACAGCCCTGACGGATTCCTCTATTAATACTGAATCTGTTACAGGTTCCATGACTTAGGGTTACACAGCTGTTTATGTCTTTATACAATATCTTAATTAAATCCTTGAATTTTTCTCCAAATCCTAAATGAGTAACTGTTTTAAAGATAAATGTATGTTCCACAAAGTTGAATGCTTTGTAAAAATCTAAGAAAAGAATAAATCCGTTTCCATCAATCTAATCTAATATCTAATATTATAATCTAATATTATTGTGAATAAATCGTCCTTTCAGAAAACCTGATTGAGTTTCACTAATTATATCTGAAATTCCTTTCTTGAGCCTAGCCGCAATAGCAGCAGAAAACATTTTATAATCTGTATTCAGTAAGGTAATAGGTCTTAAGTTATCTAAATGTCTCTTATCTTTGCCTGATTTAGGGATCAGAACAATCAGTCCTTGTTTCATACTTGACGTCAATTCTTCTTTATCAATACAATCCAATAGGGTCCATCCATCCATTTTCTTCTGCTTATGCGGGGTTGGGTCGTGGGGGTAGCAGCCTAAGTAGGGAGGCCCAGACTTCCCTCTCCCCAGCCACTTGGGCCAGCTCTTCCAGGGGAATCCCGAGGCGTTCCCAGGCCAGCCGAGAAATAAAGTCCCTCCAGC